TTTTTGCTTTTTATTAGAATACGTTAGTTTTCATTGCATCCTTTTCTAGATGAAACAACGTACAATTGCTGCATCATTTTTTACATTTATAATAATAATAACCTTACACATCTCACACACGGCTGTCTGATCCCAAACTAGGCAGAGCCTGTACTATGGTAACCAGACTGCTGATAAACATATTTATATATTTCTAAATACATACATATCATTATATAAATTACACCCAGACACCGAACAAACAATCATGCTCATCACACAAATATTTGTTCTGGGTGGGAATCGAACCCACGACCTCCGGTTTAGCAGTTAGGGTTACTAACCACTAGACCAACTGGCCTGTCAAATTAATACTGTAATATTAATATACTAGTGTATATTGTAATACGTACACCATATACGTGCAAGTATATTTTCAAAGTATTATTCAGACGATTCTGCTGACAAATATATGTAAAATGATCGTACTTTAACTTTAAAATTCTTTGCCACAAATTTATACATTTCAACATTACGCTGATAGAGCAACTATTTACCATGCTTTTTATATAAATAGTTTTGCAATGCCTAAACATACATAAGTCAACGTCGGTGTCACTTGCGCTTTGTCCTCCAATCTACCTGTGTGTTAATACAATTTGTTAAACCGATAAAATGATAATTGAGAACGTATAATTGAACGCACGTCTAGCGCTTTATGAGAGAGAGTTGGCACATACTGTCATTTGTCACGGCGAGAGTTGTGTATGGCAGAAGAAGTTTATAAAGGCCCCGTGAGTGAGCAAACCGGTCAAAGAACCCGAAAGACATACACTGACCAGATCGGCAGTGTACAGAAGAAAGTGCGTGTTAAAGGCCCGAAATATGTGTGAAAAAGATTGTAAGCTAGTACATTTTAAATCAAATCATACTTAAGATATAATCACGTTACTCCATTTTCAACAATTGAAGGTAGTAACATTATAGTAATAATTTCAATCTTCAAGCCGGGTTTCAGACTTTCTAAAACAATAAAATTTTTAAAGGAAGCGATCTACCTTCGCCCCGCCCCGCCCCACCTTTTATATTAATTTCGGTCAAGTTGGCGTTCCAGACTCAATGTTGCCAACACTATGAGCTGTATAAAAAGGGATATAAAGAAAAAAAACATTTGCATGCCAAAACAACATGGTTCTAACATATTGTGTGGCAGCTGCTATCCTGAACACGAATGAATCGTGATTGTATAGACATATATAAATTAAAGGGCAAGAATATCCAAATCTAAGGAAAATACGTGTTATTTTTCGGCACAAAAAAATTTGGCTCATTTCCCAATTTTACACTATTCTCTTGGGGTAGCCAATTCAGAAGGTGTAAAGGTAATGTGTCCAAATACGAAAAACTTGTTGATAAACTGGTGAGTAACGGTTTTTATAACGATTGTATGAACATGTGTGTAAATGAGTCATATCCTATTAAAGCTTAATGCTTGAGTGTACGCACGGGCATTAAGCTAATCGCGATATACCGACCCATTTAATAAATGTTTAAAATTTCAAAATAAAGTCGGTCCTCATTACATACATATACAGTTAAACCTAGATAGATGTAATATTAAAATACCTGCAAGGTTGTCTAACTTAAAGAGATATTTCACTTACCCAGTGTCTAAGAGGGTTCCATCACAAGAGATGAGAGTAGAGTTTATTTCAGGTATAGAGATGCAGTTATTAAATAAAAAAGCATAATTTGTAAACATTATACATGAGTTGTAATTATTATTAACAATAAAATAAATGTATGAAAAAGTCTTAGTCTTAAATAAGCTAAATTACACCCCAATAAATTAATATAACTATGTACTACACTATTAGTCTATTAGTTCAGTGCCAATCTACACCTGGGTTACAAGTTACAACCAATTACACTAATGATTGTGCTTCGAACAAGAGCCGTAAATAATACAGATCCTGCCAATGGCGACGGCAAATAATAAAAGTTTATTGGATAAGAAAGAAGATTACTGGTAGTTTATTCAGAGTGATATCATCATGCCTTAGCGCTAGTGAGCCGTTTTCCAACACTCAAGTTCATGAGAGCCATTATTAAGTCGATGTCACTCATCTCGACAGACAATACATTTACGACATACCCCCGCTTTGCCACGTTAAGTCTGTGTTTGCCACCAAAGTTATGTTCCGTACACAAGAAGATTTCAACTCCTTTACGATGGTACGTTTTCATTAGAGCCGGTAATAAATGATAAGTCACGTTTCGTAAATTTTAAGTAGCAAAGGATACTTGCCAAGTTTTATCTAATTTATACTTCTAAAATATTCTTAAAGTAATTATTCTTCTATTATCTTCTCTATCATTTTATTATCTATCTTCTAAATAGTAAATCTAAAATATACGTACTACATAATTTAAGTTCAAGTACAGTAGACTCTAGTTGTCCCTCGGGTCAAGCTTTACAAATTAGCTTATAGTTTTACATTAAATCTCATAGATTTACTGTCTACGCACATTTATCTTCAAATCGAGTTTGCGTCTAGAACTCCACACAGGTAGATTGGAGGAAAACCCGCAAGTGACACCAGCATAGTAATCCTTGAGGTTTATATTATTTCCAAATAGTATTTATATTCACAATTCTTGTATATATATATATAGATAAATATATATTATATATTGTGTATATATATATATATATGTATATATATCTCTTCACCAAATACTTGAAACACGAACAATATTATCATTGTATTGCCAAATTTAAAATATTCAAGGGAATGCGAGAGTAGAGCGGTAAACTCATATATCAAGTTGACATATCTGTTATTTCATACTGAGTAAAGATCAAATTCGGAAAGGGTTTCGGTCGGTTTGGAGCGATGTATTGCTCCCTGACGTCGGAATGCCAAAATATCAGAGCCGTCTCGATTTTTATCGATATGGTGTATGAATATGAAAATGTATAAAACAATGTACAAAGTGATTTAATATTGATAATGTGGTCACTAAGCATTTGTCTAATAAAATTATTAAAAAATCTGTTAAATGCCTTCTGTATAAATTTCTAGTGAATAATTTAATATTTTGTTTCAACAATCCCTTTTCGTGTTTAGTGCTGGATATGAAATATACTGTAGAGAATAACAAGCGAATTTAAAAACGGGTCAAGACGGCATTAAGTACAGAACTAAAGAAAATGTCGAAATAACTTTTTCATTAAAAATATTATCAAAAGAAAAATTGTAGATATTAAATGAAAGCAAGATAAGGTCAACAGGCTACCTACTTAGTTTCAATGAAAGAGATGCTTTATTAATTTACGTCATCACATTTTTTCTCACAAAGAAAAAGACGGGTTACTTTACTAATACAAAAAATATGATTGGACATTGATCTTTTCTGAACATTTAAATTGAATATAAATGCTTACAATGTGTTTCATTATTTCATAAGTGAGAGGATGAGTTACACAGTTACACACAATATACAGCCAATCGAGAGAATCAACTTAAATTTTTACTTTGAACATAACCACTAAAGATTGATTGAGTTTCCACTAAGATTACGTTAGTATTAGCATCATTAGTATTACATGCTATTTATGACATAGTTTTATAAGCGAAACGTGCGCTTTAGACTTTATATTATTTATTAAACCTTTTCAATAATGCCAAATACTTGTGTTACGAATGCATCCCTTTCTAGTACACAATTGACGTAAATACAGTATGTTACAAAGTGGCGTTCGAATTGCGCTATTATTGCGACACATAGTAAGCTGCTAGACGCTACCATGTGTGATAAATACTAATAGTGAGTCAACTCCTTTGATAGACCGATAAATACCTACAAGACTGTCCCGACTAAAAAACTAAATGTGCAAGGGTTGTCATAAAAACGATCACGATCGTAGGTAGCTAGGTAACAATAGTACTTGCCTAATTTAACTACATTGTACCTATAAAGCAGTATCTCGAATTCCTATTCCGTTTAAAAAATATGAGGAAAGGTTGAACAAATTTATAAAACAGATTAAAATCATACATTAGAATATTTTTTTCGTTTCTCTTGTTTCGGTATTTCAGTCGGTAAAAATATTGGGCAAAGATTTTGGTAAAATTGAATTCTGACAACCATGTGTTTGCTGAATGGATGGAATGCTCCATCACGATATTAATGCAATTAATGTAGTTATATATAATACAATATTTTAATTTATTGAATTTTTATATATAATATAATTTTTGTAATTAAATGTAGATGTATATTAACTAAACCACCAAACATATCGAAAGTTTTATTATATTTTCTCGTATCTTACAAGTAAAGTGAAGGGATATAAGTACTACTGTGAGTTAATCAAATTATAACATTATTGCGAGTAATCTTGTGTTGAACCTATACACACACGCATTTGCGTGCAACTGATGTACGTGACACTTCTGAACGGGCGTACCGGTTAGCAAGCGAAGCCAGCCGGTACTACCGCAGAAGGCACAGGCAGGAGGCGGACTCCGCTCTCCTTCATACCATAATCTGTTAATCGTTGCGTTGCTCCTCTAAGTAGCTGAGTTGAGTCATTATTCGCATTTATCTCATATGATCGAGGGTAGTACCTTCATAGGATTTGAATCTACTGGAACGATTTAAATCAATAACCGAAACAAGATGTATTTCGGTAACTGTTGAATTAAGAGAGGCATTTACGAAAGCCAAATTATAAAATTGAAGAGAGAAAACTAAAGTAACGTATTATTTTGTGTAAAACGTGTGTATGGGCACACGTATGTGACACTTGGTTACTTACGTGTGCCCATACATACATATTTACATATATAAAACAGAAATAATATGTATATATACCTATATTTTGTAACTGCCAACTACGAGTATACTATTCACATAAATCTGAAACTTATTCATGGAGACTGTCACATGAACTAGATTACAAGAAATATAATTATCTAATATAATAAACAGTATGACATGTGTGATTGACATACCTGACAGCTGGTACTTCCAATATGTCCCACTCAACTGACATATAGAATTCCGAGAGGTCCACCCCTACTGACACCACATTGCTGCCAGCTTGTTCATCCATGTGCCGCAGGTCCACCTGTTTACACAACATCTCCGAAAACTATTTATTTGCTCCAAATTTTTACGCAAAGTGATACAGCTAGAAAATGAGGCACCGGAGTGAAAACCCTTACATAACACAAACAATAAACCAAAAATGTAATAATGACATAGAATTTCACGTTGGAGAAATGAATGAGACGTGTTTTCATTGCATTACTAAACACACATTGAAACAGACGAATCTGAGAGGTTTATCACATCAAAGCATATTGGAACTGAGTCAGCCGTTGGCAGACGGGGCGTGTGTACGCCTGAGAGATCTCAATAGGGAAATGAGTTAAAAAGTTAAAAAGTAATGTTCTAAAGAGTTTCATTCGAACGTAAAAATGAATGTCGAGTTCTCATTTCAACTTCCTAGCTGTTTCTTACTTCCCTGAGTTTAATAACGCTGTTCTGTAGTATATATGTCCGTTACAGTGATTTTTTAGGTCATAACGTGAGGAACTCCGGTGCCAGGTAATTACCTCGAAATATTCCTTAAGTGCTGTAATATTGAAATTTGTTAAATATTTACCTTAAAATTAATAAACACTATTTAAATACACATCGATAACTTGAAAAGACACATAGTAAATACGTTTATTATTTTTTTGCTATTATTGGTTTAGTCTTATGGTATGCTGTTTAAATGATGCAAATTAGTCTACAAGTTATCGCCTCATCAGAGTAAAAAATAATATCGTCGCAAACTGATAAAATGTGAAATAAAAAAATTAAAAGAATTACATCATGCTCATAATCTCATTCCTCTGAAGTTATATAAAAAGATTTAGTTAATTATTTTAAAGCCAATGAACATCTTTGACTTACATGACAACGGAATCGACTTTAATATTTTATTTAAAACTAGCATTTGGCGTATTATTTTATGATTAATTATTTACGTACTACTTAAAGTGACCTAAAGTCGAATGAAGTTGTTGAGGACCATTTTTCTTGTTATCATTTTAAAAAGAAAAAGAAGGCTTGGTGAATTTCTTTAAGTATCATTTTTATTGAGAATAATAGAGAGCTAAAAATGTTGGATTTTTAATTGAAATTATTATTATCACGTTTAAATTATTTTTTACCCCAATGCAGGCAGATTTGTTTTTATTTTCTATTTATTTAGTTTAGTATATTTTATTTAATCATAATATTTATTTTTGATACATGCACCCTGTCACACAGTGTGTTAAGAAGTCTAAATTATGGTAACCCTACCAGATCTGGTCAACGCAGACATTTAAAATTCTAAGTCACTAACCCGGAGACTAAGTGAGCTGTAATATCCAAGCTGGTCTTCGCATTAGATGCCTCTAAAACAGTACCACAGAGTGTGCCAAGTGGGATGTACCTGAGTACAAACTGAGATCAAAACCTTTAACGACAACTGACATATTTATCTTCAAGGTAGACATGTCACAACAATATTTCGAGTCATGCGAAGAAATAACAACGCGAAAACACAGAAAACACCGAATGACGAGTGATTGTGGAGCTTTCGACTAGAGTAAATAGGATGAGGACAACCTCCTCCACCGGGTTTTTTAGCTATTGCTTTGAATTTGCGTGCTGTTTCGTTACATGAGGAACTAGCGTACAACATTCGTAACAATGCATAAGAAATCCGATGTCGGTAAGGTCGAAAGCGCCGGCTCCGCCGCGCGTGTGTGTGTCGCGCGGACGCAGCGTCTTTTCAAACACCCGCCTCAAACCAACCCGCACTTTTAAAACCTTAATTTAGCAGTGGTATTTATATGGACTACTTGCAAATGGAATACGTTGGTATGAGGCACGTGATACGTACGAGTGTATAGCATGCAACGTCCGTCTCCTCGATAGTGGCGAGAGATCGCTCGAAACTTCGACGAGACGGTAACCTCTACTTTAACATTTATATTTCTGTGCATATGGATTCCGTGTTATAATTTGGGTAGTGGATTTGTTTTTCTTTGGAATGACAAACATGCAATGGACTATCAGCGACACCACACTATTACAGCCAGTATGAGCTGCTAATAGGGAAAGGTATAAAATATGCAATATGATGACTATTTTATGCTCAATAGTGTAAAGAGCAACAAGTGTGAATTTTATTTTTGATTTGAATCACGTGCTGTGCTTAACCTGTTCGCGTGTAGGTATCGTGTGAAGCTGTGTTCAGAGCCGCGTCCGCGTTCTGCGGCGAGCGACCGCCGTGATCGGGAATGCAAGTGATTCGAGGACAAGCTAGAGTCATGCGGTGAGTGGAGTGTACATTGACGAGGGATCATGCATCAAGCTCGTGTTGGTGTATTGGTGTGTGTGTGTGGCGCGAGCGGAGCCAGCTATGGGAGGGGGGACAGCTCCGAGTGACGCCGCTCCGCGCACTGGTACTATTACTAGTTAAAGATACTCTGGTATAAGTTATCTACACACTCGTGGCTTTTCGTTTAGCACGGAAAGGCTCAATCGGAGCGGTTCGGACGTGTTGGATAGGATCGGATTGAGTAAAGTTATTGCATCCCATATCACCTGGCAGTTAAAATTTTATACCTTTCCGTGTCGAGCGAGGAAGGCCGAACGAGCTAAGTGGACTGGCCGAGGATATTCTGGAGCATTCGTGATCACGCACGTCGAGATACCGCTACTCCACATATTTTAAGGTCACCATCGCAATAGAAAGTAAACTTGCAACATGTCAGAACTAAGGAGCGAGACGGGGGCGGGGAGCGGGCGTCATGACGCACGCTCTACGCCTCTACGCTAGCATCGTCGTTACAGTCAATATGTAAAAGTGAGTATAACATACCACATGGACAGAAAAGTAATATAATTACACGACGAATTACGTTCGAGCCAACAAGCTATTGCATGGACATCGGCCGGGGCGGCGGGCCCTACGGCTACGGCCCGCGCGCGCGGCGCCAAGCAGCATACAGCGGGGCGTCACCTTGAAGCCGTCATACGTCCAGCTGCCTAACTTAAGCACACAGGTTTGCACGTCGTAAGGAAAGAACTCGACGTCGATCGAGCACGAGGACTTATAGACGGCGGGCGGCTGCCACACCACCATGCCGTTGTAGTAGACTGTGGCCTTGGTCATCAGCGTCACCTCGTAGTTGCCGTCGGCGCTGCGGACAAACAGAGCGGTCAGCGAGAGCAGTGACGGAGCTCCACGCAATTACCTTGAATCCGTCGTACGTCCAGCTACCGAACTTAAGAACGCACGTTTGCTCGTCGAAAGGAAAATATTCCACGTCTATTTCGCAGGAAGACTTGTAAATGGCGGGAGGTTTCCATTCCACCAGCCCCTGATGATAGATGGTCGCCTTGGTCGCCAATGTTACCTCGAAGTTGCCGTCGGCACTGTAATGTTAACGCACGTTTACAAGCCGTCACGCGGCGCTACCGGTCTGTTCAGTACGACTGTGTCTCACCAAATACCTACTAGTGCGTTTTATGTTGTGTGTAAGCGATGTGCTGATTTGGTAACGTAATTGGTCGAGTCGTGTAAAGATTCAGCTGATTAAATCATACCATTTTATCATTAACACTATTTACAGACTCGCAGAGACGTGCTTTTCGTTTATAGTTGTATTATGTTGGGATCTGGAGAAAGGATAACGCATTCCATTAATGTGTCTTTTACCTATCACCTACAGTATATGTAACTAATTTTCACAATTTATTGCTCCAGTTTCTATTATTTTCTACATCACATGTACTTACCTAGCTGTATAAAAAACATAATGACGGTCATTTTGTCATTTGTTTTTCGACTCATTATTGCGAAGTATAAAACTTCAGCCATGAATAAATACCTTTTTATGTAACACAATACATTACAACACGAAACAAGTACATGCATTAACACCAACATATGATTTTATATTTTTTATTTAAATTTGAATTTTAATAGCGTGAGTGAAAACGTCGAAAACATTTAATAAAATAACAAAATATGAAAATGAAGATATATGTTAATATTTTAACCGAACATTGTGCGAAAATCGATGATAAGGGTTCACAAATCACAGTGAAGGGTTTCATAGGTAGTGATTCATTCATTCAAAGGGTCGTTATTGAAGGTGTACCACGTTTCAAGAGAGAAGCAAAAAGGTGCACATTAGAGGAGAGCGACGGAAAGTAGAATGGCGGGAAGGGACAGGAAATGAGTAACGATTGTTGTCCCGGTCATTTATCAAAGTCCGACGCCTCAAGGTACCGGATTGGACAAAATGAATGGCAACTACAATTTAGGAATAATCTTTGTATCTTTCGTTCCTTGTATCATAATTTTGAGAAAAGTGACAATTAATTTAAAACCAAATCAAAAGCTAGTTGCTTTATCATAAAATTATTTCTTATAGGTGGTTGCTATTTAAATACTTTGGACTATCCATAACAATTTTAATAATCTTCAAGATAAGCTGTTGAAGTTTAAAAATTATCACGAGATCAAAAGTAAAACGGTAGACAGACATCGATACAAAATTACTAGACTATAAAAGAAGTTTTATGGTTTTATAATCTGGCGGAAAACGACCGGACAAATGGACGGTAATAGAAGTTATGTCTTGGATAGGTAGGATGAGTTTAGAGTCCTTTGCAACATTTTGTTAATAATATAGTTTAAAAATAACACCCTTCATCAACAGCCTTTAATAATCTACTGTTGGATATAGGCCTCTGCTTGGAAAGGAGGTTTTGGCCTACTATACCACGCTGGCCAGGGTTGATATAGGGTTTGTTTCAAGTTTTCCTTCTCTTTGCAGTGAACATCACTCACATCGTCCTGCATAGCTTGGCCCCTTAGTCAGTAGTTAGTGACACTCTGTATTCATAATCCGTCACCACGCAGTTTAATAACACTCTTACATAACGAGAGCTTGGAATCGATAACTAAAAAAATTTGTTCCCCATACTTATCCTTCAACTTGCACCCCTTTTTGAGGGCAGTTTTGAAAAAATTGTAACGTTTTTATTAGTTTTAATAAAAAGTATTTACTGTGAGTTTGATAACGCTACTATAAAAAAACCAAGCTTAATATAACATTTCAACCCACATTTTGCACCCTTAGGTTTGGAACTTTTAGAAATCCTCTGACACCTACGTTACCTAAGGAACATTTGTGCTGAATTTCATGATTCTAGACCCAGCTGAGCGCTGATCGACTTGAGAAGGTTGAAAGTTAGGTGTTTCCCTATGCTTGTTGAAAGACTGTCTCAGTGACATTTATTTAAAAGGGAGTTAATTAGTTCGACGCAAAAAATATACATATAATTTAAAAATTTCGACTTCATTATACTCTTTGAATCAACCTGTATAGTGATAGGCCTTGAACATGAGGAACGTCTTACGATTTGACAGAGACAGAGAATGGGGTCCCGCCTTATTCCTGCTTTTAACGCTCTGATTATCCTGTCAGGCACACCCCGTGATTGCAATATATCTAAAGATTTATTGCAAAGTCATGCTGTAGCAATTCATTGACACATTTCACACCATACCCGTAATTTGTGTTGATGACTATGAGTATAATATGTTCTCTTCAAATATTATCTTAAATTATAAAATTCAAAATCCGATATCAAAGACGTGAATTCACAGAAGGGAAAAAGTTCTTTTCTGGATTTGCTTAGGATTTCGTTACCAAAAATGATATTATCAAAAAGGTAGATTTTGTAATAGAACCATTTCAAATCAGTTGTAATTTTAGTTCGCACACAGACAGATCAGGCAGGGAAAGTCGGGAGCGAGGGAGTAATCTGGGCCTTCGTCAATTAGGTCGGGTACGAAGTGAAATTCACGGCTTATTGGTTTTTTGTAAGACAATGCTGTGCTTCTGTGAGCTTTTATCGCTAAAATTGTACTGTGAGTAAAATACGTTCTATTTGGAATACTTTGTATTACTCTTTGCGATTTTTGTAAGTTTACGGAAATAGTGTTTTTCGAAACCTATTGGGTAAATTTTTTAAATGACTTAAAAAAATCAACCTAAGTGTAACAGTTATTTTAGTTCAAAAACTGTTATCTTAAATGTAGAACAAGACCAAGTATACAAAAAAATCTATATAAATGAGTGATCATAAATATGTAGAAATAAGAAAGTAATTTACTTTGACGCCTTTTGAATCAGTTTTCATGCATAAAAATTTGCCAATAATATATTGAATCGTATCATTTGTAGTCATATGGTGTAACCTGGTATTCTCTAAAGAACAGTATCTGAAGTATTTTCAATCGACTTTTGCAGCAGAAAATATTTAATAGTGTAATATGATATTGAAATACTTGTTCTTTAATTTGTTCATTTTTGATAGAAATTTGTGAGGATGTAGTTGTGGATCATAATGGTGTAGGTGTGATAGAAAAAAAATACATCCACAAAAAGTGTAAATGGAATGTTATTTTGTATTAGTTTGGTATATTTTTAGAGGGCTGTGGAGTAGCGATGCGTGGTTTAGAGACTGAGACAAGCACCCTTACGTTCTTTTGTGAAACACTTGTAACTCTTCCTTTTATACAAACACAGACAAATAGGAGTCGGGCTTTCTAAATATGGACGAAAGAAATATGAAAGCTTGGAATATTTGCGGTTATTTATAGTGAACACGCTAGTTTATATTTGAGTTTTATAAGTTTTGGTTGTGGTTTAAGTAGTTAAAGTTGAGCTTGTTATTTAATAACGGCGGTCGTTATCTTACATAATTAGATAAAATTGACAGGCCTGGTGGTCTAGTGGTTAGTGACTTGACTGTTAAACCGGAGTTCGTGGGTTTGATTCCTACCCATAAAAAAGGTTGTTTGATAAGAACGATCCTTTGTTCTGTGTCTGGGTGTAAAGAATTTTGGATAGGTTTCAATATCTATTGAGACCTCACCAAAATTCTTTAATGTGAGTTAATTTGTTTAAAAGAAGTGTTTGTTTTTGGGAATATCTTGATAATGATAATACCAATTGATATATTCAAATATATTTTTTTTAAATTCACAACAGTTGATGTAATTTGGTACTGTGTCCTAATGGAATAAATAATAATTAATAGTTATAAATAATAATTTAAAAAATTTAAGTGAGAATTCCTAAATGTTTATTCATCAATCCAAATATTGTCAGTGGAGTAAGCTTATGTGTTATTTAGATTTGAGAAGTTTCATTTAGTTTTCGTAATATTTTAATCGTAAAATTGTAATGTTAGGCGTTATCTATTATAGGTAGCATACCAGGTATTATATTTTTGTTTAAATATTGTATAAGAATGTAGTGTATGTATGCTGTTTGGACACCAAATAAATTATATAAATAAATGTCGGTATCTAGGAATTAAATCATCTTAATAAAACTTCTATAACCTAATATAATGAAATTGTGTAATGTGTTCGATTAATCTTGAAGTTTGAATTATAATCCACAAATTGTGGATTCGGTACACAAGAAACATGACCAAAATGAGCTCATTAATGGATCAAAAGGAAATTTTCGAATATTTCCCTAAAACTGTAAAGCAAAGTTTTCGTTGTATTAGGTAATTAAATTAAATGTTAAACGAAATTGTTGAGACAGCTTGCATGTTGTGGAAAATTTATGTGAGAGCAGGCTCGCTCGAAATTTAATTAGGACATTCCAAAGCAATAAGACAGAGAGTACACCACGCATCGCTACTTCAGCAAATATTTTAAATGAAGAGTAGTTTAAACAGCAGTTTAGTAGAATTGATTTGATCTCACTTGTTGTATAGTACGATGTCTGGTCTCCAGATGTGGTCGGAAGGGACGTGCAGCATGTGGACACCGCCGTACTCACGAGGCTCCCAGCGCAGCTTGTAGTCATACCACGATTGTTCCACCCACAGATTTGTGGTCATTATCTGGTTCTTCAAGTTCTGTCAAAAAAAAATATTTTTAATTATACTACATTATGATGGGTAGAGGCAAGGAGAACAATCTCTGTGTATAAAAAGTATCCGTAAAAACGCGTCCAATAAGGAAGGGTGGTGGTGTGGCTTAAATAATAATTAGTCACTGTGTACTAGACTGCGAAAATAGTCAATGAGTTTTACAGGCAATATACGTGTAATAACTTTCAGACAGTAAAAGTATTATAATATTTTAACTCAGCACTCTTCACTCTGTCTACAACAGCTGTGTTTATATGGTAGTTTTTCGTACGCCGGCGACCTCTATTTAAAGCATACAGCTGGACCCTTTTTCAACATGGTTCTTGTTGCTCCTACAATATATAATTTTGATTACACTGTTTTTGCATTGATGTTAATATTTTAACTCAGCACTCTTCACTCCGTCTACAACAGCTGTGTTTATATCGTAGTTTTTCGTGCGCCAGCGACCTCTATTTTCAGCATACAGCTGGACACTTTTTCAACATGGTTCTTCTTGCTTCTACACTCCATAATTTTGATTACACTGTTTTTGCATGGATGTTACTAACCATTTTATTACATTAAAAAATACTCAGAGATTGCTCTACCACTATTGGAATGAGCAATGAAACTTTTAAGGCTTAAAATATCATCTGACTTTATTTAATAGAAGTTTTGGATTGTTTTTAAAAGTTACTACTTAATGTTAATAACTAATTAATGAAGACAACTAAGTTTCGAAAAACCTCGATCGTATTGGTTTGTTTTAAAAATTCAAAGAAAATTTTAAAATAACTGATGATGTTGAATTGACCGTTTTAATTTCACTTTGCTTAATGTCGAATTCTAAACATCTTCCATGGCATTATGCTGTGGAAACAGACAAAGAATTGGGAAAGTATTTGCATTTAGAAAAGGTGTTTAATTCAGAACTCTTTCTGAGTCATCATCAACGGCCTTTAATAGTCCACTGCTGGATATAGTCCTCTCCTTAGAAATGAGGTTTTGGTCTTCTATACCACTTTATAGTAAATACGAAGACGAGACCAGACACTTCGTATGTTCAAAGTAGGGAAGTTTAAATACAACATTCTAATAATTTCTAGAACTAAATATCTAAAACCATATGTGATATAAATCAAATTTATTATGTATTTTTCTGGATGGGGATACCTCTTGCAATTAAATACCAGAAGCACAGATTAAATAAAATAATCGATGTCGTACGGTACGTTAATTAACAGTTAGAAAAGTACACACCTATTGCTTTTTATGTACCACTTACAATATGTATTATTTAACGCATGATCAAAATTATTAATTAAGATAAGCAGCGCGTGTTCCCCACATAAAGAAACCCTATTTTAGTAGGTACAAAGTTAAATAAGAAAGGCTTGCTAAACGCCACCATTTACACAAAAAAATTTGAAATGACGAACTAGCTCATAAATTTATTTAATTTTTAAATTTAATTTTTTCTAAACATTCTACGAGTATACTCTGCACAGCAGTTAGGTACCTACTTATATTTTTAATAAAGAAAATACCAGCACAGTTTAAAGAGCGGATTGTTTGACTAGATTTTTTCGGGTTTATATTTTGTTTCAAAAGAAAAGTATGCAAGATTATAAAAAGTCTCGCATTCTATGTTTACGAGAATGCCGAATATTTCCAACTTTCCCTCTGTTACCTGTTACTTTTTGTAACTTAAATTAGATTTCATTCATATGTACGTTTCTTACTCCGACGTCGTTTCAAAGTTGTGTGGACTTTTTGTTATTAGACTTTGCTTTTTTTCTTAAGTTTATATAAATGTTCGTTTTTTTTTTAAAACAAAACAAAAGATGTTCTAAGAACTATTATTACTTTCAATGCTGATGTTGTTCCGTGGAGTTTAAAGCAAGTGTTCGTTAGTCGAATATTTAAGCTAAAGATGAATGATGATATCTACCTGCTCACTTATATTGATTGAGCTCATCAGACAATTTACACTCTTATAGGCAACAAGACGAGTATGGAGGTACAATCGACTGACTGGGAAGTATCATATAACTACAAATGAGATGATAGAATAGCAATAACAGCAAAAACAGAGCCAATAAGCTCAGTTAAACAATTACTAGCTTAAATATATCTCACTGGTTGATGAGATTTGTTGAATACAAATCAAAGATCCAAAATCAGAAATATAAAATCAAAGAACAAAATTAATAGATGACAATTTTACTTGTTTAAAAAAGGGTACTAATATTAGGGATCCTTACAATTTACATGGTCCAACACGCGCTTAATTTGTTTTAATTTGTTTATTTGAACAATAATAATTGTTTACAATTTTAAAAGTGAAGTGAATTGAAATAAAGCATTTTAATATAATGGAAAGAAACACTAACTTTCTAAATTTAAAAATTTAAGTGGGACAACAAACGTAATAAGAAATGTTTGTTTTCTAAAAAAAGTTTGTTGTGGTGTTAATGGTTCCGTAAAGCATTACCCTCCGAGCTTTACAAAAGTTATGAACAACAAACATTTCACTTTGAGAATATTGTTAAAACTGTCACATTGGGTTTTACGTCGGTGACACGAAAGACATTGAACAGACGAAGGCGGATTTCCATCATAGATCTTGCCCTAGACACAGTTTCAAATATTGAGCTGACCTCATACAAATGCACAATTATAATACAAATGAAAAAAGCTTATACAAATGCCAGATTTTTTGTATACAGCCGAGGTATACAACAGATGGACACGGTTTGCTACCTGGTGAAGTTGGCATAAATCATATCTCTTTTGCCATAAAGCTTTGGTAAGTCGCCTCACCATTTCAAAATAAAAGAAGATGTATTATAGTAAACTTTGGGCGTTACAATGTCTCAGATCAGACAACAATATCTTATAGGCAATCTCATTTAGTGAGAATTTCTACCATCGGCGCTCGCTTTTCCCAATCCTTTGAGCCTTGCCAGATGCCTTTCAGTATCTCTATGATGACAAACTGGCAGTCCTGCTGGTATACGATAACCGTTCATTATGCTTTATGCTTTTCATCTATCATGTACTATAGAAGTTCTTTGTTTTATGTTAAATTATACAAGTAAATTTTGATAGCCGCTACATTATTCGAATATATTGTCAAGTTTATTGTTGCAGATTGATTATGTTTCTTAGTTTTTTTCTATCTTCATCGGAACAATACACTCTTTATTTTGCTTACGTAATTTTTAAATAGTAGGAGGATTTCAGTTGTATGATTGTGCGAGGATGAACTACTGTTCTTTCTCCACTGTGGTATTATTGATTAAGTCATGGTTATCCTCCTTAATGTGGCTGGTTTTCTTGTTGTTGTCGTAGGGACACACTAAACTTTGTCAATAAACTTAGCGTTCTTTGTTTGAGAAACATCTATCATTTGATAAGGCAATGTGAAAATGAGATTATCTATATATTATCTATGTCTATAGATCTCATTAAATATTACTTTCGTACACATTTCGAGTTGATTTTTAAGTAAGTAGTAAGTCGGTTTTAACACATGTCGCATATTTTATGAATTTCATGCTGTTTGGACCAGGTAGGATCATATTGTTTTTAATGTCTGTGTAATAATTTTTTAAGCTATCACGAAAATATTAACATTATTCTATTAATATAACTTTGCTGATCGGTAACCGAATTTAGACTAGTTCAAACTCGAGTGCACGGTACACTTTCGGATGAAACGTAATTTACGAAACGCCAATTTAGTATTGGGACTCCGTGTATCAATTTTATGTGTTTACGCAGTAGATAAATCTGTTCATCTGGACGGAATTAAGTTGCAAGCTCAAAATAAATTGCCCCATCTTACTCTAAGTCGAGGTTCCACTAAATCCAAATATACGTAATAAAAGTAAGTGTACTTAAATTACGAGGAAATTGTATATGAATTTAAGTTTCGGTGACCGTTGAACGTTGTGAATACATTTTTTTCAATGTATTATGCTAAATCTAACTTCTTTCTCTTTTTCTCTTTCTAGTCTAAAACTTAACTAAATTAGTTATGTTAAATGTGTAAATTAAAATGTTTTGGTAAAGGAACCATTTCTTTAAATATATCCTGTATGAACAACACAGTATGCCAATAGTACTTTCAAACGTCTGAAGAAGGTACCTCAGTAATAAATAATCATAAAATATTCTCGTGAACCGTTAATAAATCGTTGAACTGTTAATAATTCGTCAACTTTGTATTTGCTTTAGTTTTCTTTATTATTTAGAATTAGGTCATATAGTGCAAATTTTTTGGAGCTTGGTCTGAAATGAATACTTTTTGCCCTCAGCCAAGTCTGCATTTCTAATTTATTGAAGTTGAATGTTAGTATTTTTTCTGAGCTAGCGTTATGATAAGCTGTATTATCCAAGACTGTGTCATTTGTGAGATTTGGAATAAGTTTCATTTAACCACTTTAAGTAATTTTCTGTGTTCAGATTTTCGTGGTAGTCTTCGGATTTGATCTCTGCTCTGTATGTTAATAATGCATTCCGTACAAAACCATCTGCACTGCCGGCATGTACTAGTTTTGCGAACTTTGTTTTATTCCGGTTTTAGGGTCTTCCGCCCAATTTTTTTTTGCACGTGTTTGGTGTGAATATATGACTCATCAATGTACACTATAGGTCATAGGTCATCATAGGTCACGAAAAGACTTTACCTGTCTTAAATATTTCAATCTCAACATTTGAATATCTCGTCTTTCCTTTAGCACCTTCCTAATTATTCTTAGTTTCTCTCTATTTATACCTAAGTTTAAAATAATAATCATCTTCTTAGGGTTATTAAAGATCCATCAAACTGTATTCGATCTCTCAAAATATTATGCAGTCGTGATAATGTTGGAATGTTCTGTATGATAGTTTTGGATAGTTCTAGGAAGCACACAAATAATGAAGACGAAAAGCTTCTTCTCTTTCTTCTTATTAAATTCGAATGTTCAAAATGAATATGCGCTTCTGTAGTCGGCACTATGGCAGCCATCGCATCCGTATCTTTAGTTGTATTTAATTCCATAGCACTTAATGTAGCTTCATTGTATGTGCTTTCTTTCGCTTAGAATTCTATTCATTGTGCTTTCAAATACTTCTATTTAATTTACGAAGTTATTTTGAACAGTATCATTTCTTATCCAGATAAATACTTTAGATACGTTGTGCATTTAATGTAGATCGAAATTGCTTTTTACAGCATGTTATAGATTTTAAAAGCGGAAGGCGCTTCGCCGCGCCAGCCTATAAATATTGCATATAACTGACACCACATTAGCAGTATCTACATTGCACCCGTGCAAAACTGGGGCGCATCGCTAGTAAAGTATAAACGTAACTTGGCACTATAAAGTTTTTTAAATAACTGCATTCTTTTATTAGACACTTAAACTGACTTTTGGATAGGCCGCTTTTATCTGTGACAATAAATTTCGTAACTGAATATTTTATTCCATCGAGATGCGCTATCGCCGACTGTGTTTTCCCAAAGGATATTACATTTCTTTCATACGACAACCGAGACGCCTAAGCCACCTCGATAGGTGTA